GTTATGTTATTTAGCAATTTAATATTGTTCATAGTTTTGGTTTTCTTTTTTTTTTTTTTTTTTGAACAGTCATAGTTTTGTTTTGTTGATGATAACAATGAGTAAATTAGAAAAAAAGAGTAATATACATGACTGTATTTTTTTCTTGTATTCTTTTTCGGTTAGTAAGATTTTCGAATGACATTTTGTTTTTAGGTTTGACACTTAATTTTGGTAACCATTCATATTCTTTGTCATCAATTGTGTTGTACAAAAATTAAAAAAAAAAATTATTTGGTTTTATGTTGTTTAAAAACGGACTACTCATTATTAAATTATTAAAATAATGTAATTACATCTACTATATTAAATCAAAATTTTGTTGCATTAAATAAATACAATTTAATTTACAGACTTTATTTTTATATTACATGACTATTTCCAAATAATTACTCATCCTTTGAAATTGTTGACACCATACCCATCCAAAGTTAATATAAGATTGAATTACATTTTTTTAACAATTGGTGCAATGGTTATTTCAACATTTATTATTTGGACATGTGCATGAGACCCACAAAAAAACAAACTTCTCCATCCAAAGCAAGGATTGGATAGAATAATATTCATTACTAATGAATCAAGCAGCAGTACTTTCCATTGGGTTGGATTGGATTCGGATTCAAAGTCAATCCAATCCAACCCAACCCTCTCATGGTGATCCAAATATCCCCCAATTCGCTTTCAAATTAAGTACAAGTATTCAAATGATAGGTTCTATTGTGCGCCTAGTCTCTCTAACCTAAAAGAATTTTGTAAGACCATCCACATGTGAAATAAAATTGTATACATCTCATTCTCTCTTGACAAGTGATTTCATAAAACCGAAGAGATAAAAATATGTATATCGGATACTTATAAAAAAATAGGATGACAGATCATCTAATTCAACAAAAAATGAACACTTGTCATCCTTAATCCTAAAAAGAATCAAATAAAAACCCAATAATCAGTGGACCCTATTCATGGCTCAATTGACACATCAATGGTACTCCTTTGGTCTAATGATATTTTTTATCTTATAAAAAAATTACATTTCTAATGTCAAGGTTTCAAGTCCCCCCCTTCCCCCAAAATTATAAATAAAAAAAAAAAAAAGAGTGCCAAATGAGGGTAGACCAGAAAAGAAAGTTAATTCATTAATTTTTGGAAAAATTTCAACTATACCCTCTCTAATTTACCATATCTTCAAGAACATCCCCTCTAATTTCTAAATTTTCAATGACATCCCTTCTAGTTTAATTTAAACATCACTAACACCCCCTACCATTAAACTATCATTTCTAACAAAACAAATTCATCTAAAATACCAAAAATGCCCCTACATAACCTCAAGTAATTTTTCACATAAACTTTTATTAAAATTCGAGTTGTTAAAATTTTAAAAAAAATTCTTAAATAACAATTTTAGTAAATACTAATTTGTTATTTAATAATTCGTAAATTTAAAAAAAAAATTGAGCCTATTAAAATTTATTTTTTACATATTAAAATTTGAACCGATTTGAATTCTACTCCAGTTGTTAACGCCGATTAGAATTCTCTTTCAAGTTAATTAAAATTTATATTTTTTTACTTATTAAAATTCGTGTCAATTAAGATTTGATTTATCAAAATTTAAGTCAATTAAAATTTAAAGCGAATTGATTAAAATTTGATTTAAGTCGATTAAAAATAATTTTTAATTAGCTCAAACAAAATTTTAATTAGTCCAAATTTTAATACATAAAAAAATATAATTTTTAATTGGCACAAATTTTAATTAGTTTAAATCGAATTTTAATCGATTCGAATTTAATTACGTAAAAAAAATTATAAAATAGAGGGGGTCTCATTGATAATATACTTATCTAGAAGGGGGTCTCATTGACGATACGTTTATCTAGAGGGGGTGTGGATGAAGTTTGTTCTCAAATATATCATGGGCAATTTAGTAAAATTGTATTCTACTTAATATTTTTAATCTGACAGGGGGTGTCATTAAATATTCAGAAACTAAATAGGATGTCCTTGAAGATATGGTAAACTAGAGGGGGGTGGTTGAAATTTTTCCTTTTATATATTAAAATTTGGGTTGATTAAAATTCAATGCGAATTGATTAAAATTTGATTTGAGTCGATTAAAAATAATTTTTAATTGGCTCAAACAAAATTTTAATACATAAAAAAATATAATTTTTAATTGGCACAAATTTTAATTAGTTTGAATCGAATTTTAGTCGGTTCGAATTTAATTACATAAAAAAAATTATAAAACAGAGGAGGTCTCATTGAAAATATACTTATCTAGAGGGGGTCTCATTGAAGATATTCTTATCTAGAGGGGGTGTGGATGAAGTTTGTTCTCAAATATATCATGGGCAATTTAGTAAAATTACATTCTACTTAATATTTTTAATCTGATAGTGGGTGTCATTGAAGATTCAAAAACTAGGGAGGGTATCCATGAAGATATGGTAAACTAGAGGGGGTGTGGTTAAAATTTTTCCTTAACTTTTTCATTCTTCTTATTTTTCTTTTTTTATTAAACATGATGTTTTATCTACTCTTTCAATTTTTAATCAATCTATTTTTCCATCGTACTAAACAAAATAAGGCCAGTAATTTTTTTTTTTTTTTTGGCATTATCTGAAATTTGTTTGTATTTATTGTTGTGTCCTGAAACGAAAGGCAGTAGGAAAGTTTTGTTGCAACTTGAATCATATACTCAGAAGACATGTGCAAATAAGATTTGTTATGTTTAATTTATATAAGCTTTGATCCCTTGTTGGTGCGTCCTCTCATTTACAGTTGGCATAGTGAGAGAGAGAGAGAGAGAGACCTAGCAACAGTATCAAGGGGAAGATTTTGTCATATATTATGTAACAAGTAGGTGCTGTCATGAGTTAGATCAGTAGTAGTGTACCTTAAAGAAGTATATATGAGAACACTTGTAGAACAGCTTCGACGCTTCCTATTCTTGTTTGTATCATGAAGCTTTGGTCCATATAAGTCATACTTACATGAACAATGTTATAGTTGGGTCCATATGTCCCTCTAAATTCTGTTATTTCTTCTCTATTTTGATGGGCAACATTAGTTGTTCTTTTGTTTGCTCATGTATAACTTATTTTTAATACGAACTTTACCTTTTGAAATTGGATGTGTGAACTCTTTTAACTTTTATGAATGCGACCCACAGATCCAACGAAGGCGATCAAACATCACTTAAGATTGATTGTAGCTATAACACTTAAAAATTATAAAAGACGCCAATCTGAAAATTTCACAACGATATGAATAATATTGAATTCTTACTTCGACACAGTCGTCAAAAAAAATGGCACATTTTTTTAGCACATTTCTATTTGTATCCCATGAAAAATAAATTTTGTAATATTGTATATTTTGCTTGGTTTTTCTTAGAAACTTTGGACCATTGGGGTTTCTGATTTATGAATATAAACATTATTCAGCAACTTTAAATTATTTTGAATGAAATGTAGCACGTGATCTCTTTCATTCTGATTGGTTTGATATTTTTAAGAATTTTGAAGAAGTGTATTTTGACATTTTTGGTGATAACCAAGAAGCTATATCTTTGTTGTTTAATCAGACTAGGTCAATATGAAGTATTCTGAACTTTCACGAACTACATGTTAAATATTCGGCCACTGAGGCTTTCATCTCATTAGGCGGCAGTCACCTGTAGACTAAAATTCCTTGATTCAATCCTACTGAAAACAAAAACAAAAAAAAAAGGTTTAATTGTACATTAATTCATACAACACTATATCAATAAATAGATAACAAAAAAAAAAAAAAAGTGTTCAAGATTGACACAATTAATTTGTTATTCGTGTTAATAAGTTGTGTTATTTCGAACAATCTTTTACTGCTCATGGAAAAAGTGCACTTTTGGACCCTAGAAGGTGGGAGGACTGGAGGTAGAAGTTAACCCAGATGGCAAGGTTTATCCCTCATTATGCATCTCACGCAATTGGATCAATAAAAAGAGGAAGAAGAAGAAGACGAAAACGTCTGTGTTTGGGTTTCTATGGACTATGACTGGTCCCTTGCGTAACCAATGCCTCACCTTAATTCTAAAACCCTTTTATTATGGCCATACGAATCACCCACAAATGTAAATCTTTCTTTGAGCAATTTTTCTTCTCCTTCTTTTTTTGCTTTATCTTAGTAGATGTTTAGCCGCAAACTGGGAGAATCTATGTAGAATTACAAGAAAGACTAAGTGCAACAACTTTGTATATTCACTAAAAAAAAAATTCAACAACATGCACTATAGTTATGCAGATTATAATTAAAGAGTTAGGACTCAATTATATTACAAGGCACATCCAATTATCTTTCCTTTGCAGCAGTTTTTCTTCTTCTTCTTCTTTACTTTTCCTTTTTGAGTAGAACTTTGGTAGTAAATTAACAGAATTATAATTGAAAGGACAATTATATTTCAAGGCACATTAACATACTGGGAACCTCTTTTTTTTTTGACTCAGTTTGATGAAATTGATTTATGCTATATATAAGGAGTGATTGTCAACTCAACCTAGATGGAAGATCAAATGAGTCAGGCCATCTGACTCACAAGTAATGTCATTCTGCTTCTCGTCTATCAAACCACCAGAATTCAATAAACTGGACGGAAAGAAAGTGAAAATCTTAATAAACGAAATCTAAACCAAATGACCACAATCAAATGTAACAATTGCGCAAGGTGTCATGTGCCCGAAAACAAAAGCATTAGGTTGAAACCATAAAGACCTCAAACAGTTTCTGTGTTTTTTTTTTCAGATTTCAAACAGTTTCAGTCTTCAAGTTCCTGAAAATGAAACCCTGCAACAGGTAGAAGTTAACATATTTGGTGTTGACCAACAATTCAATTGATATATTCTAATGAAGGGTCAGATCATGTCGATGCTTAGATTAGTCTCAAAAATAAAGGCAAGTTGTTACTTGAAACTTCACTCATTATGAATCAGGGCGATCAATTTTTGTTTTAGGGCAGAAAGATCAATACCAGCCGGATCACTGACCTGCAAGAATGATTCATAACATGTGGTAAATGTGTCTGTAATCATGCAAAAATTAAGAACTTCATAGAAACCCTATATTTTGGAAGATGAATTGATGAACTGTGCTAATTCGTTTACAGTACCTCGGACTGAATTGTGTAAAAAAACTTTTCATCTGCTTTGTTGGAAATACAACTGACAACGTTATACCCTTCTTCAACTAGTACTCCCAACACTCTTGAGAGGAGGAAACCTTCCTCTTTGAAACCGCAGCTGATTAAAATCTCCACCCCAAACCTGCATAGGCTTACCGTGAGCAATACAGGGAAAGAACAATTTGAGCTTCTGTTTTTAGGACCAAGATCACTTGTATTGGACATCTTCTTTAGCTTGTCTCTTTTGATACACAGTTCCTTGTTTTTCCTCTGCAGGTGTTCAATATAATTTACAGTTTCGTGTACGTGATCTGCTGTAGAACGCTTTCCCTAAAACACCATTGAGATAACCGGCCCCATAGGCCTAATTAGTCATACCCAAATACAAATTTCTTTTTTTTTTTTTTGGAAGGTGAAAGAAAGTTTCTATTGATTGTAAGCAGGTTTTAGAAGTTCCAAAATCAGACATTGCAAGCCAACACGACCTGTAAACAACAAAAAAAAAAAATCAACCAATACAATACTTATGCGGATTCTATGGGAAGTATTGACATCGAGCCAGAGCCAGTACTTCCTCCAAAATCCTACGTCCTTGTATGAGGAACATTAGATGTAATTGCCCAAATACAATTTTACATCCTATGTGAGAGAGAGAGAGAGAGTCAGACAGTTCTTTATTTCTTTTAAGATATAGTAGGAAGAAAGGTTTTAGAAAACCTTGTCAGACCCTTCATTAAGCTTCTTGTAGGCAATGGTATGAACACTAATCTTTGGCATGATTCCCGGAACCCCTACGGCCCTCTGTCACTTTTCTGCAACACCACCATCATGGATGAATCTAGTTTGTCAACAAACTCAAAGGCTAGCTTCATTGTCAATGGCAATCAATGGTCTTGGCCAACAACTGCTCCTGCTGAATTGATGGATATCATTCGGAACATGCCTACCTATCTCCCAAATCATTTAAAAGAAGACACTGTGAAATGGACACTAGCCCCAAATGGCCTCTTCTCTTCATCATCCACTTGGAAGTAGATTAGGGAGCAACGTCCTAGAGTACCTTCGTGCCATCTAGTATGGTTTTATCAAGGCATCCCTAGAATGAATTTTATTCTATGGTTGACTATAGACAACGGCTAAGCACAAGAGATAGAACCCTAGTCTATGCTGCCCAACCAGGAACTCCAAAGCCATCTTACAAGCTATTGTCCAAACCATTAGGGACAAAATGCTTTCTCTTAAATTCAAGAACACTCCAAGGAACAAAAGGTTACTTCTAACCTGGCAGCTTCCCAACTCATGCCTGCTATGATGTCCAGAATTTTATAGTGCTAGAGCTACTTCCCATGGGTAATCAGCTTAGACTTGGTACCTCTTAGGAATTTCCCATACTTTTGCTCACCAATGGGGATTCACTCCCAATATTGGTTATTTTGTTTTGATGTACATCACAGAATTTCCACGTGAATGAAAACTTTATTTGCTTTCCCAAAAAAAAAAAAAAGATTTTAGATATAGTTCTACCTCCTGAGACAGAGAGAGAGGGAGAGAGCAGTATTGAGATAGTTCTTTAAAGATATATGCAGGAAGAAGAAAGATTTTAGGGAATCATCACCGTTTCACGCACTCTCAGCATAGTTATACACAAACAGTAAAAAAACACAAACAGTAAAAAAATTTAAAAAACAACAAACATGGGAAAGAAAACGAAATTAACAGCTTTCACCTTGATGTACTCGAGAGGGAGTAGTGAACGAAGAGAAGCATAAAGGCCAGTCATTCCCTGTCTTCTCTGTCGTTCGATCTCTCTATGCATAATTAATCTTTTCCTCTTGCCATCATTAGTACTCTCATCACCGTTGCTTTTTAAATCTGATATTTTTTTCTTCCTTCCTTCCACGTTATACGTGTTAAGGTTGTTGCTCTCCACCTCCAGTGAAGCATGATGACTCAGGATAAGATCTTGTCGGATTTTGGGTTGTTGGCCATGATCAGTAGAAGGGATCTGAAAAAACAGCTCATCGCTTTGTTGTAAAGGAAACATATTGCTCAGATACTAACCAAGACTAACCCAATTATTAACAGAAGCAATAAAGAAGAAGATACGTTTGTAGGGTTTGAGATCTTTAATGGGCCTGAGATGCCTAGATTTTCTTCATAAACTAGAGGATTTCGTTTCAGAACTGTCCTCACCGGCCATATTTTTTAGGGTAGATTATCAAAAAGCATCCTTCAACTATGGTTTTTATAATACTTAACCAACGCCCCCCCCCCCCCCCCCCCCCCCGGCGCCCAACAACAAAATCAGACGATACCCTGCAATTTTTTTGATTTTATTATGTTTTCTTTATTTTTCTTATTAAGTCTTCAAATTAGGTACGTCCTCAAATTAATCTAATAGTCGTAGTTAATCACGTCCTCAGATTAAATCCTTAAATCTCTTTTGCTTTGAGGACGGAGGATTTTTTTTCTATTGTCCAAAAGATTTACCATCCCTTAAAGAATCTTTGTACATGATCTTTTTTTGGCTTTATATGGAATTTACCTTACTAATTAAAAAACAAAAATGTTATTTAGGTTTAATAATTTGACATAATTTGTTAACTTAATGAAGTAATTTCATTAGAATCATTGGATAAACACCAAATTTCAATATTTGATGGAGCCAACAATTAATTTAAAAGTTTAGTGAATTAGGTTAGTAAATTAAGTTTCAATAATATTATTTTTTTAAAAAAAATATGCATCAACAACATGCGGAATTACTCTCTCTCTCTATCTCTGGCTCTACCTCTATCTCTCTCTCATACGCAATCAAAATTGAAATCATCCTCTATTACTGGCCTTGTGCATCTCACCCAATGGATAATATATCAGCATTATGGAATGAATGGCTTTTTAAATTATCTAGCTCCATTTTCTAGAACAGAACAATAAAACAAATTGGCAAGATCGGGGACACGTGAGACATTCACCCAAAAAAAAAAATTATAATTATAACATTTTAAAAGCAATCATCTGTTACTTTCCCCAAAAAAAGAAAAAAAAAATCATCTGTTTGCAGTTGGAACTTACGCACAAAAAAATTTATACCTTAATCTTAAAAAATTATAATTTTTGATATAATTTCGAAATCAGTACCATAATCTTCCTCATATTTGAAAATTTCAGTTTCTTCATTTTTTTTTAGCTTTAAGTAATCTTTACGCCTCCTTTGGAAACTATTTTTTTTTTGGGGCGAATTATACTTTACATTCTAACATTTTTTAGAATTATCACTTTGGACATTTACTAATTGGATTTCTCACATTGCACCATCAATACATTAAAAATGTTATAATATAGCACTTCTTTTAGTTTCAATTACTCATTGCATCATCTTTAATGAAATGAGCTTTGCCAAAATAAATAGTCGAATGTAATAGAAAGACCACACTACAACACTTTTAATACATCAACAATATAAAGTAAAAAATTTTATCATTGAAGGTACAAAATAAAAAATTCCCCTTATTTTTTTTTCGACACAAGATTTCTAAGTTTATTTTTTAAATCTATCTAATATTGCTATTAAATTAATTTACCACCGTACCTTTAATTAAACCTCCAAGTTAAGTAAGTACATGAGTTAATTTTATTCCAAAAATAAGAATATTACAACGTTGATAAAAACACAGTAAACGTGAGCACAGCACCCCCAACAAAAAGGTCAACTTTCGCATACCGAGTACTAAAACCTCGGAAAAAGTTTCACCTTTAGACCAAACGTGTTAAATTTCAGTACCGAAAAATATTTTTTTAATACTGTATTTTGTTTTTAGCCTATATTAAAATAATATATGTATACAATAATATTTTACTTATTTTATTACTTTTAAAATTAATATATACAAATAACTTATAAATAAAATTTACCATTAAAAATCATTTTTTTACTATAGTACTAAAAAATTAAATTTCAGTGCTATAAACAACTTACTATCAACACTAATACTCCATTTGGTAAGAAAGATAAAAAATAAGAGGTATACACTTTATGACTTTAAAGGATGAAAAATAAAAATAATACATTTTCCTTCTTTTGTGTTTAGTTAGATGGATGAAAAATAAAAATGACTAATTTTTTTTTTAATTTTTTTTTTGTGCCGACTAAAATTACGAGTGACAATTGAGTCGTGCCGTTTTAGATTCAAGTTCTTCCATCGTCTTCTTAAAAAAGAAAATGCAAACACATAAGAGTGTCTGGGTCGAGTTACTCACAGATCCTATTATCTGACCCAAAAAGTAAAACTAAAATTCAATAGATCTGATAGTTGATCTATCCGAACCCGAGTCTAATATCCTAAAAAAAAAAGTTGAATTTGCCCTTAAATCCATTACCCGGCTCAAAGACCGCCAAAAAAAACCTATTCCAAACCACTCGCCCGCCCAACTTTCCTTTGAAAAAAAAATATATTTTTAAACTATTAAATTTAAATTTTAAAATAAGTCTCTCAATTTCAAAATTTGAAGTTTTAAAATTTTACATAATATAAATAATATATTATTTTCTTTTTCATGCATTAAACATACAAGTTTTAAACGATAGAATAATGCAAATGATAGATAAGTAAATAAATGTCAACTTAGTTGAGATATATTCATTCTATTGAATGCAATTCACCCCCTAATTAAAAATAAAATTATTCATTATTTTAATTTTATCCATTTTGATTCTACTTTTGATTCAAAAATATAATTTACACAAATATTAAGTTACAAAAATATTCATTATTTTTAAATAAAATTGTATATTAAAAACCCGCGAACAAGCCACCCAACAAACTCTATTAGAAGACCTGTCAGCAGGCCCGCTCAATAGACTCGTGGGTTGGACAGTGGATAGCCCTACCCTACCCGAAACCCGCCCAACCTGCCCTGTCCAGCCCCATAACTCACTTAGATAAGGTCTTTAGCTTACACTACTTAGGTCCGCCCCGAAAAAAAATCACAGGCCTAGCCGACCCAGCCCATCAACACCCCTGCAAACACTGCACAACTTCAGTAGTTGGTAAAACATTAGTAACATGAAAGAGACTTTGAATGATGGCACCCATATCTCCCTTGGCCCCTAGTGCAAAAATACACAATACGTGTGATCATTCTTATGAGACTACAAAATACAGAGAGCATGTATGATCATTCTTACCTAAGACAAATACTTGAAAGGTATAACCGCATTGCTTTTCATGGATAGGACATGCATAAACCAGAGTGCTTCTCTAGCAGCCTCTAGAACTTTATTGGGGAATGGTACATTCTAATTGCCACCAACTTCATTTCCACCCACGCAAGCAGAAAGATGAGGTGGTTTCCCACTAATTTGATATAGTTTCATGATCACACTATTGATTCAATAGAGATGACTCAGGAAAGATGGGCAAACAGACAAGATGAGACACTAATAACAGAAGATCCATAACATCAATGACAGATAGTTTCTAAAGGAGAAAACGTTATAATTAGTAGCAGTACAATCTATTTGACTTATTTCCTTTAACTCTGCTGTGAATGTTTAGAAATACATGCAGGCAGACTTATTAACGTACCTGGTCAAAACATTAATCAAGGGAAGTTATATTACCTTCATTACCTGCTTACACGTCCCCAATTACGTTATGATTTTGACTTTCATATATCAAGAGAGTATCACTTTCACCTGCGGCATTACCTTCATGATTTTGTTAAAATCCATAATTTTGAGAAAATCATGATGTGGCAACATCACAGGAGACTCTGCTTTTATCTTCAAAACGCACCAAGCCTGCTTCAAATGCAAGGAATAATACATTCAGGTCAGACAATGTTTATTGTGAGAAATCAAACACTACTGCCTCATTGTTAGTAATTAACTTGATATGAACAATACAAAATTAGAGAAGCTTAAAATCGGATTATATACGTACCAAATTAGTTGCAACCAGAAAGAATCACCACCACTGTAGTAAAAATGAACATTCTGATTAAGAAGTTGTCGACTAGAAAGGCTTCGTGAATACATGATGCAGGCTGATGCCTCTCAGACCATTTACTTCCTAATTATCCTTCTGTACTGTTCCTGGCGTTCCACCCAAGGCACTAAAGTGGCTAAAAATTCTTTTGTTCCAGTCCAATCCTACCTATTTTTGCTAGAATGGATGAGCACAACACAATGAATTTGGTTAATCCAAATATCAAAGCAGAGCAATGCAAGTCATGAAGAGAACTTACAGCTTATCCAAAAGTATGAGAACAAAGTGGATTAGAAAAGCGCCATTACACACCATTATATTATCCCTCAAGTGATCTCATGGTCTGTGATCCTTGACTCAACCAGCGAATCCCAGTGCTCAAAACACCCTATCCTATCCAGTTATCCTCCAAACCAGTCTTTATGAAATGAAACTCCTTGCAGTTAATCCCCAGTCTACAATTATGAGAATCTAGAATACATACCATGAGCACTATCCTACCCTGTTTCTCTTCCATATCCAGGTTTTAGCTCCCTGATAAGGAATCCCCAAGCAGTCAAAACCAAGCAACCATCATCAAGGTCCAAAGTGGTAGGGGCCCAATGCCCGCACTTCCACCAACAGAACCACCATCACTGACTAAACTCAGAAAGGCAATTCAACTCCCAAGGAGAGCCGGTACGTGGAGATTAGGTTAGTTCGTCTGCTACTTCTTATCTGTCCACAGTCATGCAACATTCATATAGACAAGAAGCGATACATATATGTATGATCATAGAAGAAATGAGAATATCATTCGAATATTGGAAAATGATTCTATCTATTGCCCAGGAACATCCATACTTAGGCTATCACATACTGGTGATGTTTGAAATAATGCAACACAAGCCCTACGCCACTGATTTAAGCAGGCAGTATATTGCTTTTCAATGTGCTTTACTGCAGGTATTGCTATCATCTATACAGGTTGCATCACCAATTGGCATTTCCATGGCTAACAATAATAAAAAAAATCATGATTAGTATGAAAATTTTTCATTTATGTATAAGACTCTGCACCAATGCAAAGTTTAGTCAGCTTTCAAAAGTACCAAAAAATAGAGAGGATCACTACTGACCCAAGAACCCAATATTGACAAAAAGCAAACCGTTTATTCAAATATTAAGGACACTGACCAATTTACACATTAAGATGGCCTCACCACTTAAAGTATTTGCTGCACTTTAAAGGCATCCAAGTAGTCCAGGCGTTCCTGAAACTCGGTGTAAAAGAAATAAAAGTGGGCCAGGTCTTCAATTTTCTATTCAATCATGGCAACCAAAAAGAGCATCTTGATCTAAGCAACCTTAGTACCAACAAAAGAGTTGGTGTAAAAAAGTCTCAAGTTCATTGAAATTTTGCGATCCTGTTTTTTACATCAGCCATCCACAAAGTTGATGCAGAAAATGATCTACAACTGTATAATACTCTTCATGGCAATCGAACATTACGGACTGACCGGACCTTCTTATATGGTTTAAGAGGGTGGCGGGAGGGAGGTGAAGGAGAAAATTCAACAGGTAGCTGCGGTGGCTCTAAATCTCCGGTAAGCATCCCCACCACTTCTTTCATGGAAGGCCGGCGAGCAGGTGACTTCTGTAGACAGAGAAGAGCCACTGTAATACATACTAGAGCTTGTTCTCTATCCAAAGATTCAATGGACTTATCAACCAGATCGAGGAGCTTCCCTGCATGGGCAAGGCGGCGTGCCCAAGATAAAAGATTGGCACGATGGAAATCTGGCATGGGCGATCCTGTCACTTGAAGTGGCCTCCGCCCCGCAATAAGAACAAGTAACAGAACCCCAAAGCTATAAACATCACATTTTTCAGAAACATCATCACCACCACCATACTCAGGTGCAGTATAACATACAGTTCCTCTCATACTTGGCGTGCTACTACTTTTCCCCATCTCCCCACTCAGAGACACAGAGTCAAAACTCTTCCCCCGAGCTCTCCACAGCTCACCACTAATTCCATCCAACCACCAATCCATACTGCTCCAACTATTCCTGCTCCTACTCCTCTTCTTTTTATCGACGTACAATTCGTCATCCCTCGGCCACTGATTCTCACAATCAGTGCCATCACTAACTGACCCTCCTTGCCTTTTCTTCTTCTTTTTCTTCCTGACAAGCTCTTCACAGTACTCCTCCTTCCACCACTCCCTTGGCGGCCTCCTCTTCTCTCTCTTCACATTCTTTTCATCATCCAATGACACCCACCAATCCAATTGTTTTCTATTCTTCTTTTTCTTCTTCTCCCTATTCCCAACTGTCCCTGAACTCGACGAAGCACCAATCCATTCACTATTGGGCCTATCTTTCTTAATCTCAGTATTTATCCATTCCATCACATAATCCTTCACACTCCCCGATTCCCCACCTCCATTATCTTGCTTCCACCACCAGTCCTTCCCCAAAATATTCTTTTTCCTCTTCCCACTATCCATGCTAACCTTATCCAAATATCGATTCTCATCCGATACACTAGTACTCTTTTTAAAACCCTCCAATGGAGAGGCCATTTCTGCCACTGTCCTCGGTGACACCACCGCCACCTCTGGTGAAGCCTCTACTACCACAACAGTCTCTGGTAACGCTTCCACCCCTAAAGCCCTAACAGAACTTTCTGGGGACTGATCGACACCCCCATTAGACTCTTCAAAACAAGTAGTTGTAATCACACTCTCTGTATCTTCAACTACAGATCCATTGTCCTCCACTCTTTCAGCAATGTTTCTCCCCTTTTTCATCTCAATGTCACATTGATTCTCAGATTTAAGCCTTGCCAAACCGAAATCCCCAATCTTGGCGCTAAAATTTCCATCCAACAGCATATTACTTGGCTTTATATCACCGTGAATAATAGGCGGATCGCAGCAATGATGCAAATACTCTAGTCCTTTGGCGATATCAACTGCAATTGAAAACCGTTTCTTCCAATTTTTCAATTCAACACACTTGCGATGAAGTAAACAATCTTGCAAGCTGCCATTAGACATGAGCTCGTAGACGAGTAACATACGGCGTCGTTTGGGGTTAGAGGAGAACCCTAAGACGGAGACGATGAAATTAGAGTTGATTTTTCCGGCTAAGAGGAGTTCGTTTTGAAATTCACGCTCGCCTTGAAGAGAACCAGATTCCAAAACCTTGACAGCGACTACTTCGTGGTTTTTAAGGGTTGCGGAATAGACAGAGCCGAAGCCGCCACGGCCGAGGAGGTGGGAGGCAGAGAAGGATGAGGTGGCGCGGCAGAGAGAGGAGTAGGAGAAGTTTTGAGGGGGTTTGGAGGAGATGGGAGAGGAAGGGGAGGGGACGGTACGTTTGCGGCTTTTGCGGAAGCAGAGGGTGAGGAGGAGGAGGAAAGAGAAGGCGGCGAGAGGGGGGGTGAGAGTCTGGTTTTGGTGGTGGCGGGTGAGGAGGGGAGGTGACTGTGGTGACAACTGACGAGAGGGCATGATGAGAGAGAAAAAGGAAGTGTGATTAGCATCAAGAATGAGGAGGATAAGGCATACCTGACTGTCGGAAACCTCCGCCAAGTTTCGCCGAAGAAAGAAGAGTCCTGTTTCCTGGTAAATGCTCACTTTCCTTCTTCTCTGTGAAGCTTTGAGCTGTGCACACTTGCAGCTAGGATTAATTACAATTAAAGCCCTTAAGGTTTCTAGTAATAGTATGGATTCAACGAATCACTCTCAAAGACACGAATAATAAATGAGGTTAAATTAAGATCATATATAAAATAATAAAATTAATAAGTATTATAGACATAAAATAGATAATTAATGAATGATATAAATAAAAAATAAGTATTTTTAAAATTTTTTAAATAATAATATTATTATGAAATTAATATTTTTTATTTACATAAATATAATACGTATCAAAAATAATACTAAACAAAAATAACAAAAAACGGTTGACATGTTCCTCTATATGTGAGCAGGTTATTTTTCTTTGTTTGCTAGCTCTATCTTTCCAAATTTTTGTGCTTGTTTACACGGCGCCCACCAAAAAGGCCAAAGCTCTATGTTTCTTCTGTTTGGTTTGACAATGTAATTGTCAGTTTTGCCCACTGATAACAACACTATCACCACATGGACTTGCCCAATTTTAGTGAACAAAAATATTCAGTCGGTGGGTGGGTCGACGACTTGAATCTAGCGCCTGTCTGTTTCGGGCTCACGAGTTGAATTAGTATGGTAAATTAATTTTTTTTTTTTAATTTAATAGTCAAAAATGTTCGAACAAGTCAAAAAAAAGTATCCATGTTGAAACTAAAAGAATTTATTTATGAAAGATAAATATCTCGTGACCTGACGTTAAGAATTGTCAAGATTTAAATTTAAGACGTCTAATTTATAACTCGTTCTTATTACTATTTAAATTATTTTTATAGTTAGTATGACAAATTAAATGGCACTGTTTTTAAATAGTTTTGGATCTACTGGAATTTAAAATTCATTATGAATTTATTATTTTTCAAATGAATTAGAACAATTCTAATTTTGACATTTGTTTAAAACAAAAACCCACCCTAAACAATGATCCGTGCTCATTTTTTAACAAAAAAATTAATTGGTTGAACTTGAATACGGTATTTGAAATTTATCAATATTTTAAGTCATTCTCGATTACGATTTTAAACAAACAAGCTAAACCTAAATAGTATTGTGCTCGATTCAATATGATTTATTCACACCCTATATTAAAAATGAATGCAAAAAAAAAAAAACCAACAAGAAAATAAAAAGAAAAAGAAATAAAAGGGAAAGGTGGTTTGACAGCAGTCAGCTGCCTTGGCTTTAATCCCTTCAAACTTTTCAGCGTGTCAAGCTTTTCTCATGGAAACAAACACTCTGTTCAATGTTTGACAAAAAAAAGGCAGTCCTTATCTCAAAATAACAAATTATTATATGGAAATTGAAGTTCTAAAAGTCTTAGAAGAATGTTAGAATTGTAGCCTTTTTTTGTCAATGATAAATTTTTGATGGACTCTAACTCAAGGTCACCACTTTTTTAAGGGGGTTCGTTAATTTTGTCGAACATTACTATACTTATGAGTGGATTAAATCCACAACCAATATGAATTGGTAGATCAATGAATCTGATTAGGGGTTCGTTAATTTTTACTTTTTGAGTAAAAACCTTAGAAATCAAACCCAGAAATACTCAATTCCTCAACTAAAAGCCTAAGATTATATACAATCAACAATAAAATTTAACCTAGAGAGAGAGAAAAAAAAACAATAACACAGATCTGAAATAAAATGGACCAGATCTGAAACAAATGGATCAGATCTGGTAGAAAAATAAAAAGAAGAAAAGAGAAGGAAGACAGATCTGGAACAAAAACGAGCCCAAGCCAAGCCAATATCAAGTCAAACCCGAGCTATCTGTGAGCCGTCCAATAGCCCCAAGTCCGATCAACTTTTTTAAGTAGGTTGCTTTAGGTAAATTATGCACATTTATTTGGTGAACACGACATTACTCAATTTTATCTATTCTTTTTTTGTTTTTGATCTTGTAAATGAGAAATTTCATTGATTTAATCCAGCACATATGTAATCCTCCCTAAAGTCAGGAACGTAACACTTCTAGATGTAGGAGGGGCAGTGTCCCCGTTTCCCCAATAACGTTATTCAATGAGTCTTTTTCAGGATTGATGAAGTCAAGACTATTATTATTGTATGTCTTTATTTCCTTAATGATTAAATAAACTGAAAGGTACAAGATTCAAATACTGATAAAATCCTTTTGATCTAATGGACCAAAATGACGGGCTTTTATCATGTATCAGTGGGGTTGCGTAATATATAAAAAAGTTGCTAATTGATCAGGTCAAAGATTGGAACTGCTTGGAAGATTTCAGACCCAAAAATAAAAGTATTTTTTTTTTTTGTCAAACACTATTATAGGAGAGAAAGGCAAGAATATTGATCCCGCAACTTTAATGTCCAACATCAAAAGTGGCACTATTAACTTCCCAAAATAAAAAGAATGAAAGTGTTTTCCTCAAATCAATTTTTGAAAAAAAAAATAATAAAAAATGATAGAAAAAAGATTAGAAAATATTTGAATCATCGATTAAAGAGCCCCATAAGCTATCTACCTTTTGCATTCAGACTGGGAAATTTTGCAAAATACTCCCATGCTTTAAACCAGAAAATTTTTTGGGCCTCAACATGCGAAAGTGGCATTTACAACCTCCTCTGCTAGATGCTTCTCTATGAAATTCTCGTATTTTCTATGTACATATTCCTGTAGCTCGGATGAGTATTCTTGTTTATATCACTAGAAATCACATCCAATTTAACTGTCGGCTACAACTCTCGCATAACAAACACCCAAAACAGCCACACTTTACTTCAGAACATTATCTTTAGCTGCATGCCTCATTATCTCTAGTACCTTGCTAAATGAAAGGGTTTGATTTTGTGCCCAAAAGATACCAATTCTACTTCTGGATTCGGCTTCTCATGGCTGCACATGACCCTAAGACAAACTAATTCTCTTATGGTCAGATTCTCTTCTAAATAAATCCTTCTTTTTCAAGGGTAGTTGTCAGCACAATTGCAATATCTAGCATACAACATGTTAACTAACAATCGGGTCAAAGTCTACAATCTTCAGATACATGAATAAAGAATAAAGCAAATAGCACACCTAGATGATTACGATATGAATTTAACTAAAAACATCAGAATCTAAATGTAGTTTCATTCAGGAAAGAAGTATACACAGAAAAGTACTGACTAATGTCGTGTTAAACAATCAGAAAAGCGGGGCGATCAATCAGCAATATTACCAGAACCATTCGTGTCTTGAATCCACAGCTTTTACATTGGTTGATACAAGGGGCATAATCCCATACAGGGAGACAAAATCATTAAGGCATTTATTTCTCGTGTTGCTATGCCCTGTCAAACTGCTAATGCCCGATGACCCAATTTCATAAATCTTTCCTGCAAAATTCATAGAACAGTGTTTTATGAAAACCTGAAAAATGCTATGATGCTTTGTAGAATTATGTGGACAATGACCCCCTCAAAAGAAATTCAAAAAACATCTAATCAATAAAAAAAACATATAGACTTCTAGGAGCATTTTGAGATTAAAATGTTGTCTTACAAGGAAGTTGCCTCTGTACTTCTGCTTACCAGTTCGCCAAATGAAAATATTTACCTGCAGCTTGTAGTTGCATTAACTTCTATACGTTCATTTGAGGGTGGAAGTGGAACAAAAAGAATATATTATTACATGGCAGAACTATAACCATGAAAATTAGAAACTAACTAAAATTCAACAATGTCTTGTCTTAACTATTTGAATCAGCTAGGTAATGACTTGATAATATTATGACTGAGATTCATGCTTGAAAGTATTTGCAATATTGGTGGCACAAAAGTTCCATAGTCATAGATAGCCACCACCTGCAATAATCAGAGTACTGAAATTTTTTACTCGGTTGATTAAATTCTAATCATTTTTCCCAAATCACTGCCACAGTGACTTAATAATAAATCGCATATGAAGTTTTGGCATGGGAATAATATATCTGAAGCTATAGATGCATTCAAAAAACTGTGGAGCCTGCACAATGTCTCAAGTAAGAGATTCACATCAAAGAAATAGAAGGACTATTTACAGATAGTAGATAACTCAAATCCTGTTATTTATAGCTTAAGACATTGTAATTTTTTTTTCCACATAAAGCAAAGTCCAGGATAAACTGATCAACAGATCACTCGAGGCATATTCCCATGTTTGGGAAATAAACTTAAAATTAGACAAAATACTAGGAGGAAAAATACCTTTGACCCAGATTGGAGGAGCACCAGTGGCATTCGCAACAAGTAGAGACATTGCAATGTCCTCACAATTTCTGCAGAAAAGCATGGGAAATTTTTTTTTAAAGGATCATCAAAAATAAATCTCAAAGGGAGAAGAAGAATAAGTAACCATTCCTTTGAGCATACCTCTCCCTAGTTACATAATCATTAATTGAAGAGGGCATCTTATGTGAGTACAAATCTAGGTATTTCCTGTGAAAAAATGATGCTTTTGAGAGAACCATACTGTAAGTGCCCATCCACCAAACCGACCACCAGCCTCCATATTGATAATATGTGACACCATTTTTCTGCATTACATGGAAAGAAAAAGTTTAACAAAATCAAGAATAAAGAAATTTCTGGAAAACATCATAAGTGACCTATGTAACACAAATCATCACAAAAGGCCATGCGTGATAAAAATTAGGCATAATAACATATAGATCAGACAGCTGTCTGATAAAATATGATCTAGAAATACGCTCACTACCATACACCATTTTTTTTTGGAGAAGAAATGGAGAAGTTTAGGCTAGGAACATGATGTTACTTGTTGAGCTGCCCTACCCTAGGAGGATTTCTACTGAGAACACGAATTCTAGGTACATGATGTAAATACACTCAATTAATGTACTAGATGCAAAAGACCCAGATGATTTTGCAAAGTCACTATCTGATACTAAACCTTCAAGCATTTCAAATACAACTTTTTCCCTTGTTAATAAGAAGTGTACAGATAAATGGTAGTTGAGAAAGATTACAATAATCTGATAACATATATATATATATATATATATATTAACAATATCAATACAGGAATGAGAGGAGTTTCAAACCAGGGACCTCCAGATTAGAAGTATGGCTTATCCACTAGGATATGACCTCAGACCTCAACAAGATTTCTGAAAGGTCAAGGGTACCAAAACGTCTTAAAAAAAAAGAGTCTAAGTTTGATAGAGGTTTACTAAAACAAAAAAATTATATGGATTCAAGAAAGTTTATTACTTGAACCTAAATAAAGGCCCTCACAGTAGCAACCTTGGCTTATAGAGGGGTTGAGATTGACACCAAAAAAAGAGTTTCAGGCTGATATAAAAAGATTAAAGCAGGCTCCTCGTCACATATAAACAGGCGCGAATAACACTGTCGTAGTAGTCCAACAACGACATGAATAACACACGTCTAAAAGCTATACAAGGTTTTATAATAAAATCACAGCACAGGCAGCACATAGTAAACGTATGTAAATCAGTTGCTTTCCGGAAAAAAAAAAAAATGAAGGTATGCGGATCAGATTTTTCTGTGAAGACAAATAAGTGTGTCATAATTTGGAAAGGCACAATTACTACTGCACAGTAAGAATAGGCAGTGGCAAAATTACAACTACAATGAATACAAGAAGACTTTCTCCCTAGCCGCATAATTGCCCAACAAGATTCCACCTTCCTTCAACTCAAAAGGATTATGCAGTGTACATGTAAGTACTCAATCAAGCATTTCAAATTTTAAAGACAAGTATAAACTTAGAGTAATTATCCGACAAGTAAGAGAGAAATTACCAACCTCTTCATCCAGCCAATGCATTCGAGGAACAAATCCCACCATTGTGAGCGGAGCACTTTGCCATACATTGAACGCGAAGTCCAGGGTAGAACAAGGAACAATTACATCATCATCCACTGAGAAAATTGCATCTGTTCTGAGATCCCCGATTGGTTTAAATCTATTGTTCAAATTGTCCTCCTTATTTAGGTCAAATCTGAAGTTGGGTTTGTGAGCCGTCTGTGACTTTGTGAATACAATTTTGTTAAGATAAGCTTTTAGATTCTCTGATGGTGGATCAGTTTCACTCCACACCACATGTATTGCATCAGTCCCACTACAAGATGCATAGTGCGCAACAGATTGTTTAAGAAGAGAATTTCTCTTCCAGGTATTGATAAGCACTGTGTAACCACCCCTGAAATTCATATAAATTTCACATAGATATACATCTCAGGAACAGTATTAGAAGTAATCACTCTCTCTCTCTCTCTCTCTCTCTCTCTCTCTCTCTCTGTATAATACGTACTACGTGTACATCTGAGGAATTGAAGTGTGATAGATCGAAGAAAAAGAGGCTTACCTCGAAGGATGAGAAACAGAGGAAGGATAATGAGGGTTCCAACCCATGAAAGAGCCGAGTCTGGAAGTGAACCAAACGAACACGCCGAGAAGGAATAGAGAGAGAATCAGCTTGATCTTGGCGCCACCGTGCAACTGCCGTATGCGGCGGTAGAATAGCGGAGAACGACCGTTGTAGACGCCTCTGTTCGCTGCCTTCTCCTTCGCCGGCGAGTACAAGGCGTCCGTGTCTCCACCGTTCAAAGCCACGTCTCTGATCGCGATCAGGGTCGACATCGTGAAAAGTCCAGATACTACCAGGGTTCTCTCAGTTTGTTTCCTCCGGCTCCGTATTTTTCGAACGCAGACAATGGTTTGTTGGTTTCGAATTCTTTAATTATTGTTATCGATTGTTTTGCCCTTTTAAAATGGGAGAATTATACTTTGCACCCAAACAGACTTAAAAATTTTTATTTTATACCTTCCAAGATTGAATATTTCATATTTTACCCATAATACATTAAAAGTGTTATAATATGATAATTTTGTTAGCTTTAGTTCACTCCGTTAATGTCAATGGAGTTATTTTTGATAGAATCAACAAAAAAAGTGAATAAAATGGTCACTAAATGTAAAATGTGATTCCCCTTTTTCAAATTCAATCATTGATTGGAATGGGCATTCTTGACCAAACTGGACCTCCCAAAATTTCCCTTAAGTTGAAATGGATTCGGACCAACCCAATCCAATAATGACCGGAATTGGGCTGGTCCATTACGTAACTCTCTTTTTTAATTTGGGTACAGAAAGAATGGGTTACTACTAGCCCATTTTGAAGACTAAAGCATGATAAGTGCAGTTGGGACTTAGGAGGGGGAGTTTGTCTGGCCAGAGGGCTTCTACTACTTCTGACATGAATGCCACACTCCACACAGAAAGGTTATTCCGCTTACTTGTTTGGCTCTGGCCAAGGCTTAAAGAAACTTTAAAAGGCAGTGTAGCTCCTACAATCTTACCAATTTTAATGTGATGACTATGCACTCCTTACATATTATCTACACAAGTGAAACATTAAGAGTTCGGAAAAAAAAAATGTCAAATTGTACACAATCATACTCGATGGGTATTTCAAACCTGGCCCTATTTCAAACTGTGCCCATGCTTGGACCAGATCAATGGGTATATGTATTCTTGGACAAATTTGATCAGTGGAATAGAAATATTCTAGATGCTTGAACTGAAAAATCTTAGGCATTTTTCTGTTTGTTTGAGTAAGCTGACTGTGAACACTGGTAACAGATCTCTTACGTTAATTAATTAGCTTAAGCAATATAGTTGCAAAAAACAGGGCAAGACAAGCATTCGATGTAATGAAAATGAGTAACCTATAGGACTCTTTACCAAGAACATCTGTTTATTAAACCACCCAGATTCATGTTGAATATCCGGCAACATGATTTATATTGGTGTCAACCATGTAATTACTATTGGGCTTCTTACCTTGTGTATCCCATCTTTCCATAGCAAACCTCCAGACTCAGGTAGTGTTTGCCGAGATTTCGTCGTGAATGTAACCTTGTAAGATAGTTTCTGGTGTCTGCTGGTGAAATTCAGGGTTGCTGGCTCAACCTGAACGAGAGCACCTTTAAACGCTGTAACTGCTACATGGTATCTTGAAACTGGAGGGCCAACATTGGTGACTGTTCTATGGAGAGTCACCACAGTTATCTTTGTGTTCTCTGGAAACACAGCCGAGATAGCTGGGTAGTTCAAATCACCAGCATTGGCAAGGGAGTGTCGGCATGACCTGCCGGAGAACTTAGCAAAAACAGTCAGCTGTGAGGAGGTTAGACCTTGGGTGCACAAAAATTCAAAGTAATCCTGTGCCCCGATGTCATAAATTAAACCAGGGTCAAGAGATTTCAATGGATTTATGTGTCCTGCACCATGGTCATACGGAGAAGATGGTGCCCCTGTTGAGGCATCTATCAGAGGGTTATGGGTATTATCATGAACATAGGCTGTTGTCATCAATGCAGATTTTATTGCAGCGGGACTCCATTCTGGGTGCCTGGCCTTAAGCAATGCAGCAATGCCACTAACATGTGGGCACGACATGGAAGTTCCAGACAATATATTGAACATTGTTCTCCGATGATCGTTCGACAGACTGGAAGGACCCAAATCACCGGTCCAAGCCGCAAGAATGTTGACTCCTGGTGCTACCACATCAGGCTTTAGAATCTCAAATGACAAGAAATTAGGACCTCTGGACGAAAACGCTGCCACCACAGGAGAAGGCCTTATCCCCAATTTTGTCCCAAGAAATGCTAGAGTTGCGGTTGCATTTCGATTCATTAAGGCGTATTGCTTTATTGCTTGCCCTTCCTTTTCACCGACTGTGAGTGCTGGAAGAAGATGACTGTCCGCAACCAACTCCTCTCCATTGGCATCAGTGTTCGATAAGATCATGCCTAACCCACCCGCATCTTTCACCACCTGTCCCTTCTGAACCCGAGGACTAATGCCACGGTCACATATCACAATCTTTCCGGCAACAGCTCGGCGATTTAATGTCCCCTCTAAACACAATGAGCTTGGATCAGGATTGCTTGAATTACTCCCTGTATAAATTAGTGGGTACTGCTTTCCTCTCAACAAGTTTCTCCGGCCTTTATAGAGTGAAACTCCCTTCACTGTTTCACCAGTTCCAAGCTTAACAGTAGCTGGAAAATCTCTATCCATTGTGCTAGCTCCAACTGTGGCGATCCATGGTGATACATTAGTGAGGCTAACTGGGTCCGGACCGCCATTTCCTGCCGAGCAAGAAATAAATATTCCCTTCTCCATCGCTCCAAAAGCCGCTATTGATACACTGTCACGATGGTAAGGTGAAACTCCACCGCCTAGAGAGATGGATAAAACATTCACTCCATCGGCCACAGCTCGATCAACAGCAGAAAGGATATCTGAACTGAAGCAGCCACCAACCCAGCAGACTTTATAAGCTGCAATTCTTGCGCTAGGGGCCATACCTCTGGCTGTACCATAAGCATAACCCAAAAGATTTGCACCACGAACCGGAGAGCCAGCAACGGTTGCTGCAGTGTGAGTACCATGGCCGTCCTGGTCTCGTGGCGATTTATACTCCTCGTGCTCGTTTATCTTACCCGAACCAGCCTCATAACCACGATAGAAGACTCTAGCACCCACAATTTTTTTGTTACAATGATGCTTAGCAAAAGCACGTCCTGTCTCACATGTGCCTTTCCAGTGAGCTGGAATTGGTGTCATGCCGGTGTCGTTGAAGCTCTGGCTTTCTGGCCATATTCCGGTGTCAAGCACACCCACTATGACATCGTGGTCAGATTGTCTATCAGACCATGAACTTGTGCTATCTTCATTTTCAAGCCCCAGGAACATGGGACTCCTTGTGGTGTGTAGTTGGTATATAGTCTCAGGTAATACGGCTATCACACCATGCTGTTCCTCTATTCTTTCCACTTCTTCTTCACTAAGCCGAACAGCCATGCCATGAAAAGCTGTCTGGTAGCTATAAATTAGCCTCTCCTCATCTTTAGTATCATCGTATTTTTCGGGTTTGGAGGCCACTGATTTTATCATTGATGAGCACCATTCGACATGGTTGGTGAAGGCCTCTGACATTGCTGATTTATCCATTTGGACTATGTAAGTCTTCTTTGCTGATGGGCTGCTGTTTGTAGAGATGACAAGGGTGAGGATAAGATAGCTTGATAGAAAGAAAAAAAGCCATTTCACTGGAATTCCAGCCATTTTCTGGGTAAGAAAGAGAGAGTTGCAGAATGAAGATGTGGGAAGTGAAGAAGATGAGGAGGATGCAAATGAGAAGTGTCCTTGGAATGGGGTTTCAGACTCGAAAAAAATCAGACAGGAGGCGAGACCTTTAATCTGTCTTCTTGTGCAGGTAATAAAGGTGGTGGTTGTTTCATCAATGTCATTCTTATTGAGTTGGGAGAACTGGCTGGTGGTCGAAGTTACTGGTCATGGTCCTAGTGTACACTGACTCGGTTGGGACCTACTTTGGAATCTAGTTTTGAAATCTAATACATAAAATATTATTGAATTAACAGTAGTTCTTAACATCGAAAGGTTTTCATTATCAATCCAATAATATCATTACATTCGATCATTACATTAAAGCATCTCCCACCCTCTTCTTTAAAATAATTAGTCAAAATATATTTAAATATTATATTCACTACTTTAACTTATTATTTTTATAAATTTACTCCAACCACACTTTCTATATTAACTAACTATTACACCCAACTTTCACTAACTTTTAATAATTTAAAACAAGTAAAACATATATAGAGAGAGATAGAGAGAAAAAAAGGTATAGAGAGAATTTAGAGAGCTCAAATGGCTCACCACATTTGGTGAACCATTTGAATTAACTAGGATATAGAGAGTGGGTTGGAGAGAATTTTTTGTGATTGACTAGCTAAAGTAGCTAAAAGAGAAAAAATGGAGAATGGGTCGGAGATGCTCTTAGTGTTTCGGGTGTACTAGTGCATCACCACCAAATTGGGTTCTAACCAATGATGATAAGATTCCATTTAGCAAAAATAGAGCTAGTTGTAACTTAAAACAGAATCACTCTAGACTTCTGATCCAGTGCGGATGAAATAATGAGGTGTTTGTTTGCTATCTGAGATCTGTTCATGTGGTCCTGAAATCTTCACAAGATGCTTGTTGTCAATGCTGAGCACCGTTCTATTAGAGATGGCTAAAGAGTAATTCGATTAAAATTCCCTTGAATTTCTATGTAGAGACAAAGTTATCTGTTTTTTGCTGTTTCTTTTTTAGGAAGTCTCTATGTGCTTCACCAAAACCTCATATTGGGACAAGAAGTGTTAGTTTGATGAGTATCTCCCATTGTCTGATTGTGACCCTGGCATTATTGAAATGTTTGGAGAGACAAAGATGATGAAAGAAGCCAAGGAGGCCACCATGTTTAGCCTATTTTCTGAGATCAGTCATTTCATGCATTTAGAGCAACCGAGTGGTTGCGGTCTTGTCAGCGTTGCCCTTAAATTCTCGTGGTCTATACATACCAAGAGTAAGGATGCTCCTTAAATGTTGCTACCATTCTCAAGATATATACTTTCTCTAAGTGATAAAGAAGGCCTTGGCAATGAATTATATTTGCAGAAAAATAATCCTGTAGATATTTTGGGTAGCTGGAATAATTGATGGATCCACAGCGAAATTCATTGAATTATGTTGATATTTTTTAGTCAGTTGTACCTGTTTTTATCTCTACCCACATCAGATTTTCATTACAAAAGCATGTAAATATGTAGGGGAAATTTCATTTTACTTCCCTATAGTTAGTCACTTTTCAGAAGTAAGATTGCTTGTATTTGCTTTTCGTTTGATCCCGCTGTGGTTATGGACAAAAGTCTTGTGTACTGGACACGATCCTCACTTTAAAAGAGCCATGTGTATTATGTTTTATTACTGTTAAAGCTTATTCCTTAATGAGGGGCGACTCGATGACAAAAGAAGTAGAACTGTTTTCTCTTTAATGAAACATAAGTTCAGCGAACCTGGCATGGATGAGAGAAGATGTTGTACAATCAAAGATAAAAATCAAACACCGCCATCACCGTCATTCTATCCTTTTTTGTGTTAGAGCAATTGGCCCTAATTAATTGTTAGACAAACCGCTGCAGTAATTAGCAATAACTCTCTCTCTCAGTGTACATTGAAGTTGTTCAACGTCTATATCAAACCCTTATTAATATCAGCATTCTATGGGCTATGGGCTATGTGTATTCTTAAAGACAGCAGAAGGGTCATTAAATTTGACTCATCTTCTCTGTTTTGGAGTTTTTTTTTTTTTTTTTTTATCACAGTGATCAAGTTTGTCTTAATTACTCTGAAACTCTGAGACCGATGACCGTAGTTTAAGCTAATTTAAGGACAGAGACGGAGCCAGACAACTTCTCTAGTAGGGGCAACAACAGTTAAAAAAAAATTCACTATAAATTTATCTACGAGACTAAACAAAAAAAAAATTGAACCAAAAAATTGGGCTCAATCATATATTGAGTTTATAATGAGAAAATCCAAATTGTCGAGCATCTTATAAATATTTATAGTTGCTCCCAACGAGTTTTCATATTTTGAAAGCGTTGTATTATAATTTTATTATCAATGGTACTTAAAATTTTTCCTTCGACATGTATAACCAAGCAATTGTTCATCCATTGATCTCTCATTTGATTGCGCAATTAATTTTTGTAAAAATTAATTTATTTAGTCACAAACTTAATATTTATCAATGAATTTTAACAAATAATAGAAATTAACTTAAACTCTAACTATTCTATTAAACTAAATCTAAGTATCTGAATTACTTAATCTATCACAATAAAACTATTTAAACCATCAAATCAAAATAATTTAAATATGTAGGGTAAAACTATTCATCAGATTTTCATTACAAAAGCATGTAAATATGTAGGGTAAATTTCACTTTACCTATCTATGATTAAGTCACTTTTCAAAAGTAAGATTGTTTGTTATTTGCTTGTCGTTGATCCTGCTATGGTTATGTACAAAATTCTTGTGTATTAGACACGATCCTCACATTAAAAGAGTCATGTGTATTATGTTTTATTAGTATCAAAGCTTATTCTTTATTGAAAAAAGGTTTAATAGTTATAATTATTAAGTCTAATTTTTAAATTTATTTTTTAAATTCATATATAACATTACCCATTCTTTTTAGAGTTAATTATAAATTGTATCCTGAAAGATCGTTTAAATCTCAATTTGCATCCTCAAAGATCAAAAATCTCAACTTGCACCCTCAAAGATAGAAATTTGTATCAATGTACACCCTCAAATATCAAAAATCTCAATTTACACCCTCAAAGATAGAAATTTGTATCAATGTGTACCCTTAAAGATAAAAAATTTCAATTTGCACCCTCAAAAATAAAAATTTGTATCAATATGAACCTAAAATTAAATTAATAAATTATACCTAGATTCACTTATGTTTGTCACTTAATCATTTAGACCCTTTCACATTTAAAATATTACTCTTACATATCATGACATTTGTGCACGTGTAACACGTAACCCATTTTCATTAATATCTGTTAATATAATCGTTAAAAAATATGATTTTATCCTAATAAAAAATTATAATTTTATATTACTCTTTATTTTATAGGTTCAACATACTCTAAAGTTCAAAATCAAACTTATCATTTGAATCTGTAAAAGAATAAAGGGTTGCACATTGAGTAATATATTACATTGGATATAAAAAATATTATATAAATATTTACATTCTATTGAACATTCAAATAATAAGCTTAATTTTGAACTTTAAAGTATATCAGACCCACAAAATAAAGGGTAATATGAAATTATTATTTTTTATTAGAATAAAATCATATTTTTTAACAGTTATATTAACCGATATCAACAAAAAGGGGTTACGTGTTACACGTGTACAAATATCATGAGATGCAGGAGTAATATTCTAAATGTGAATGAGTCTAAATGATTAAGTGACAAGCATGAGGAGATCTAGGTATAATTTATCAAATTTAGTTTTAAGTGCACCTTAATACAAATTTCTATCTTTAAGAGTATAAATTAAGATTTTTTATATTTGAGGGTACATATTGATATAAATTTTTATCTTTGAAAGTGTAAAATGAGATTTTTTATTTTTGAAGGTGTACATTAATACAAATTTTTATTTTTAAGGATGTAAATTAAATTTTTTAATCTTTAAAAATTAAAATTAAAATTTAACCTATCTTTTGAGTTACGATTTACGATTAACCATTCTTTTAAATGAAACATAGTAAAGGGAACATGGCAGGGATGTACAATCAAAGATAAAAATCAAAGCACCGCCATCACTGTCGTTCTATCCTTTTGTGTGTTAGAGCAATGGGCCCTAATCAATTGTTTGACAAACCGCTGCAGTAATTAGCAACAACTATCTCTCTCTCTCCCTCCCACCCCCATCTCTCTCTCTCTCACTATTCATTGAAGTTGTTCAACGCCTACAGCAATCCTTTATTGATATCAGCATTCAAGGGGCTATGGGCTATCTGTAGTCTTAAAGATAGCAGAGCGGCCTTTAAATTTGACTCATCTTTTCAGTTTTGGAGGTTTTTTTGTTTTTAAGATGTTTAAGCTTGTTATGTCAATTACAATTTGAACTAAATTAAAAATATATTTTTTTGTAGAATAAAAGTAACTGATTCTCGAAGAGTATGAAAAATCCTATAATTAATTTTTTTCAATAACAAACAACTACGACTACAATTGATTTAGATCCAATACACTCAATATTATTATAACCGGATTGGTCATCGAACCGACAAAAGGACTGGGTCAATGTTTCACTGATTTAACCGTTGGGTCAACTGATCGGACCGGTCATATAATAAAAATATAAAAATAATAATTATAAAATTTAATAATTTAACTAAAAAAATATAAAATATGTATAAAATACATATAATTTGCTATAAAATTAAGTAACAAAGTGGAGATTATTGTATTTTAAAGCGAAGTAAAGAGATTCAAGTAAATTATAAAGAAAAAGAAAGGGTGTCATTTATAATTTATCCAAGAATCAGGTT